GGCCCCTGACAGGGGGCCAAGAGCACTGGAGAAAGGCGCTTGGCGGAGCCTGAGCAGAGTCGGGTCCAGGAGAGAGTCTGGGCCTCATTCCACTTAGTCCCCTTTCAAACACTATCTACGGTTTCATTCTTAGGTTTGGGGCTCGAGACTCCAACGCATGCTCTTGGGGAGGACACGGTTCAGCCCCTAACAAGGACCCACTGGAATTACGTCCGCCCCCCAAGATGGGGAGGGGGCGGGGATCAAGATGAGCCTGAAATGGCTCCTTGTGCCCAAAACAGGTGCCCAAAGGATGCCATGCAAACAACAAAAAGACACAGGATCCAGCCTGACTGCTGACCTGCCGTCCTTTAGCATCAAAATAACGGCAAAATTATAGCCTATTTCACAAGGCGAGACTCCACGGATCCACCTGACAGGAATGAAGACCTAGAGGTTTACAGAGGGCTGGGGAGCGGGAGGCGGAGGGGAAGTGACTGCTCATGGGTACAGTGTTTCTTTTTGGAGTTATGAAAATGTTTAAATGGAGATCGTACAACTCCTTGAACACTAACCGTATACTGAAAACCAGTGGATGGTGCGCTTTCCATTGTAAACTATGCTTTTTAAATTTTTTTTTAAGATCTGTGAATCCGCACTGGCATAAATAAGTGAATAAATGGAGGAGAAGGAAAACTCCCACAGTGGAATGCCAAATCAACGTAGAAGGACTGAAGGAATCAGAAAAACCACCCCTCGGCCACCATTTCAACGGAAATTGATTCAGACACAAGTCCGCCATGGAGGCTGAAACTAGACTGTGAGTTGGAGGCCGGTATTTACGTAGTTTCAAAGAATCTATGCAGAGAGTAAACGTAGTAACTTTACAGTGGAGAAACCAAATAGTCAAAGTTAACAAAGGCAGAGAAGGGACACGCAGACCGCGTGTGCCCCTAACGGGGCACAGTCACAAACTCAGCGTTGCTCCCACGGGCTTCAACCAAAGTTCACCCCGGGTCTAATTAATCACATCAGACAAATGCCTGGCCTGCACACTTCGTAAATGGCCATGTCTCAACGCAAAGGATGACCAGAGAGACACGTGGTCAGGCACTGGCTGCGAAGGACAGTATGGGGACAGCTGTTGATTAGACGACAGTTTTGCATCAATGTTAACTTCCTTTTGGTTTATTTAAAGACTTTCTTAAAGAGCAGTGTCCGCTTAACTTCATTTTGACAGTTGTATTAAATTTATTTTATGGAAAACAATTCTTTGCTTTTAGGAAATTTACAGTGAAGTGTTTAGGGGTAAGGGGACTTCATGTCTGCAACTTACTCTCAACTGTTCAGAAAAACCAGGTAGATAATAGAAAGATGATAGATACTTAGATTCATACGCTACACACACACGCACAGAGGAAAGTGTAACACAAATACAATAAAAATTTAACATTTGGAAAATCTGGGTGAAGGGCTCCTGGGAATTCTTTATTATTCTTGCCACTTTGCTGACAGTCTGAAAATCTGTCAACAATTTTGTGAAAAAAAGTTTTTGAATTTTAGTACTTGGGATGCCATTAACAAAATGCCACAAACTTGGATGCCTGAAAGCAACACAAAATTGCCTCGCATTTCCGGAGGCCAGGGCCCAAAGCCAAGGTGTTGGCAGGGCCGTGCGTCCTTGAGGACGTGGGGGTGGGCCTCCCTGCCATGACTCCCTTCTCCGCCTCTGGCCTCTCGCCGTGTCTATGTCCACACTTCCCTCCTCCTATGAAGATACTGATGTGGCTTCACCTGGACTGTGCCTCAAAGAGCCCGTTTCCTAGTAAAGTCCCTCACGGGCCCCGGGGCTGGTACCCGTCGGACATCAGGGACCTGGGCGAGCGTCTGGGAATTCTTTGGCACTTTTGTGACAGTCCGAAAGAAGCCAAGATAAAGCAATGCGGAGCGTGATCAGAAGCCCCCAGGGGCCAACGTCCTTGAAGCCGAGGTCCAGATCCCAGCAGCCCCCTGAGCTCCGGTTCCTCTGACCTGACGGGAGCTGGTTCCTGCCCCAGGCACTCGCAGCGGCTGTCCCAGCCCGGAACGTGCCTCCCCTAGAAGAAGGTGTGGCTCGGTCTCTGCTCATTGTCACCTGTCCCAAGAGATTTTCCCGCCAACCAGATCTGGGACTCGCCCCTTCCTGTCCCTCTCCCCGTTCCGTCTTCGGGTCTCTCCACGCCAGGTCTCACGAAAGGACATGTTATCGTAGGAGCCCCCTGGTTGGCCTCCTCCCCTGGAATGGACACACAGGGGCAGAGACCCTGTCCCTTTGAGGTGGGCTCTACTTCCAGGGCCTGGGACAAGTGGGGGCAGGTGGCAGGGACTGACTAAATAATTGTGGATGGAGCCCAGGCACAAGGTGTCAGTAAAGTTACCCAATGAGTCCACCTGTGTCCAAGCCTGGCACACCCTCCTTGATTAGTGGGTCATTGCAGGTGGGAGACACTCAGGGTGAGGGGTTCTCCATCCACCCCACCCCACGCCCACCCCGCCCGCAGAGCACACACGTGGAGGAGACTGTTGTTAGCTGTGGCCTCCCAGTGGCCCCTGGGCCCCTCCTGGCCGGCAGCCTTGGCACCCCTTGATGGGGACGGCCTGCGTGACATCTGTCTAAGTGCCTTTTGTGACTTCTGGCCAAGCCTCACGCGAACTCAGATTCCTTCTCCGTCCAGTGGGTGCGCCCCCCGGCTCAGCGGACAGGGGCGCCCACCGGCAAAGCGCGCGAGTCTGGGCACCAGGACGCGGGGCAGGAGGTAGATGCGGAGAA